CCAGGGAGGGGGCCTGTGGGCTGAGGGGAAGGTGCAGCTGGACCTGGAGGAGCTCCCGCTGATGTGGACCTGTTCCTCAGGACACAGCCTGGACACTGTCCCCTGGCTGGACCCCGTCTGTGCGTCCTTTGGTGCCCTGGTCAGCCGTCCGTCTTCTTTCTGAGGAGAACGTTCCCTGGGGCCGTCACCTGCTCCCAGGTGGTCCCCCAGCTTCTCCCCTCCTAGTAGCTCTGACAGTTCCTCCTTGGGTCTACCTGGCATCCTCTAGGGAGGCCTGGCGTTCCTCCTTGGGCTTTGGCCACATGGCCAAGGGGATGCAGGGTGGGACACACTAGGGGGTCTCTGAGGACAAAAAGCTGGTTCCCCGCAGGACAGGCCTTTTCCGCCTACCGGCTCACCAATCCCTCCCCACTTAGTCCAGAAGGTGGCGCAGGACGTTCTGTGTCACGGGCCACTAGGCGAGGCCGGGGCCACGGCAGGAAAGCCCGGCTCCTGCTTGCCACGCTGGTGCTGGCGCCGCTCGGCTGACCCCACGCCCTCCCGCTTGCCCAGAGAGGCCCATCTCCTCCCTCCCCAAGGTCAGGGCCTCCGCCAGGCAGAGGCTGTGGCAGAGAGAGTGGGCTTCCTGGGGTCTCTCCTGAGACCTAAGGGAGACAGGGAGGAGGATGGGTATCCCAGTGACCCACCCAGCACCCACCCAGCACCCCCGCACCTACTGAGCATCCCAGTAGCAACTGACATCCAGCACCTACTCAGTGCCCCAGCACCCACTTAGCACCCTGGCATCTACTCAGCATCCCACCACCCACCCAGCACCCACTCAGCACCCCACATGTACTTAGTATCCCAGTGACCCACCTATCTCCCACTCTACACCCCAGCACCTACTGAGCATCCCAGTAGCAACTGACATCCAGCACCTACTCAGTGCCCCAGCACCCACTTAGCACCCTGGCATCTACTCAGCATCCCAGCACCTACCCAGCACCCACTCAGCACCCCACATCTACTGAGTATCCCAGTGACCCACGTATCTCCCACTCTACACCCCAGCACCTACTGAGCATCCCAGGAACTACTCAGTGTCCCAGCACCCATGCAGCACCCAGCATCTACTCGGTTCTTCATTTGCTCTGAGCTGCTACAGCAAAACTTCACAGACCAGCAACTTACGAGGAGCAAGCAGTTAAGTGGCTCGTGGGCCTCATCGTGTCTGACGCGGGCTCTGCTGTGTCACAACATGGGCTCTGCTGTGTCACAACACGGGGGGAGGTCTCACAGGGGAGGGGTAGATGGAGAGAGGGGCGGGCATGCCCCTCCTCTGTGAGGGTCCCACTCCCACTAACAGCACCAATGCCGCATCACCCCCTGGACGGCCCTTCCCAAACACTGATGCTCTGCAGAGTCCCCAGCACATGGACTTTGGGGACACATTCAGGCCACAGTGGCCATCAGGGCACCCACTTTACCTGGAGTTTCTGATGTGTCCCTCCCTGGAAGGACCTCATGCCTGAGCCCCCGGGGCAGCCAGTCCCACCCCTGGGGTACTGCGCAGTGTCCAGGCTGTCCTCAGGAGCCGAGCAGCAGTGAGCCCAAGTCCCTCTGAGTTTCAGAACCTCCCACAAACCCTACAAATGAAGCCATCGAGCACTGAGACCTAGCTCCCCACAGCCCCAGGAAAGAACCTGGGCACCTCCAGGTGCTCTTAAACATGCTAACGACCAGAGAGAGTGGATGGGGGGCCTCCCGTTTAATTTATTTACTTGTTTTTAATTTGTTTTACGCGACAGGAGATGCATTTTGACACATTGTGCACAAATGGAGCACAGCCTCTCCTTCCTTGGCCGAACATGGTGCAGAGTCACACCGTAGTGTAATCAGACATGTACACAGGGTAAGGATGTCCATCTCCTTCTGCTGACCCTCCCATCCCCACACCCTTTCCCCTCCCCTGTTGAGAGCCACAGTGAGTTGGAATGGCCCCTGGCATTTTGTCAGAAGTAATGGTTGAGAGGCGAGCCATTAAGATGATGTTGGATTGATTCAATTGTATATTAGACCTTTACACCAGTAATAGGGCGCCCACTACTTTGGAGTTCCCCTTGAATTCCCGTGGGGTTCCGAGAGTGAATGGGCGTGCAGCCCAGTGGAGGGAGTTCCGGTTGGTGTGTGGTGTTCCTGGGGGCCCGTGGGTGGCATTCGGGAGAGTTCCAGGGGAGTGTGCGTGGAGTGCTGGTGGAGTTTGGGCAATAAAGTTTCCTGTTTGAAGATACAAGTGCTTTGTGGCGGCTCGTGATTTATGCCCAGCCAGACTGCAGCACTCCCCTTACTCCCCTCTGCACAATCCAAGTTTCCTTCATTCCACCACATCCCCATTAGGGATTAGTATCTGCTTATCAGACAAAAACATCTGGCCTTTGGTGTTTTGGGTTTGGCTGTTTCACTTAGCATGATATTCTCCAGCTCCATCCACTTGCAAATGCCAAGATTTCATTCTTCTTTTGAAAGGGTAAAGTTTCTAAGCTGCAAAGCCTGAGTTAAAATGAAAAGGACTAGGTATTGTAAAGTTTCTGAACTGCACACAGAACCTGAAATTCCTGTGGCAGTTAAGACAATGCCCAGAACTGACCATTTAGTTGTTAAATAACCTGGACCCTGTGCAGTTTGGCACGTAGGCATTCAGGGCCCAAACCAATCAGTTTGAATGTACCCCCCTCCTTAGGACTGACCTATCACCCCCGCCAGACCTGTTCCACCAATGAATGGACTAATCATGTTTGAGAGTTGTTGTTCAATTTTCCCGTGCCTCATGATGATTTGTTCTGATGTATGCAAAGCCCCCGCCCTCCCCAAAAAGTGTACTTAAGCCCCCTGCTCGGGGCTCTTGGCCACTCTCCCGTCTTGAGTGAGCCTGGAGCCCCAGGGCGCTGGATTGGATCCCCAATAAACCCCCTTTTGCTGTTGCATGAGTCGGTCTCTTGGTGGTCTCGTCCTCCGACGTTCGCCGGACCCTTACACTTTAAGGCTGAGTAATATTCCATTGTGTATATGTACCCCATTTGGTTTATCCATTCACCTATTGAAGGGCATGCCAGTTGGTTCCACAGCTTAGCTATTGTGAATCGAGCTGCTAGGAACATTGATGTGGCTGCGTCACTACAGTAGCCGATTTTAAGCCCTTTGTGTATGAACTAAGGAGTGGGACAGCTGGGTCCAATGGTGGTTCACTCCCAGTTTCCTGAGGACTCTCCATCCTGCTTCCCATGGTGGCTGCCCGGGTCTGCAGTCCACCCGCGGTGTGAGAGTGGGCCTTTTCCCGCGTCCTCGCCGACACCTCCTGTCGCCTGCAGGCCTCCTGTCTTAGACTCCAGTTGGTCTGTGTGTGGCCAGCCTGGGAATCGCTGCTCCTGGCGTCTTGCGGGACCTAGAAGCAGGAAGGAGACTGACCGCCTGTCACAGCAGGATGGCTTCCTGGCCTCTGTCCTTGCCTGTCAGGTAGAGGGTGAAAGGAGCAGGGACGTCGGGGGCTCTGAAGGACTCACCCTCCAGCGAGTGCCCTAGTGGACGGAGTCCTCTGGCCTGGCTCTGGCTCTTCCCTCAGCTTGCTCCTTGAGCCGCGCACCCTGTCACTTCCCCTTCTAAGCCAGCCGCGGCACTGCCTCCGCCCTGCTGCTGCGGTGTGCGAGGGGCTTGGCCTGGGGACACACGCTCCAGGGCCAGGCAGGCCCCACATCCTGTGAGGCTCTGCACCTGCAGAGCTGATTGTCCCCCACGAGGCTGGGGTGGCAGTCTGGGGTGGCAGCCGTGTTCTGCTGGCTGAACCCACAGCAAAAGCACAAGCAGCCAGTGTCCGGTGGCTCCGCCAAGTGGAGCGGGGCTCGAACTCCGCGGGCTGATGCCGGCTCTCCTGCCAGCCCCTCTCCCAGGTCCTTCCAGAGGCCCCCACCACGGCTTTGGGATGTGGGGTTGGGTTTTGCTGAGAGGGGCAGACACCGACGGAGACGTGGGGGCTGCAGGCCTGTGGAAGCCCCTGCACCAACTTCAGACTCAGGCCACACGTCCTGCAGGTAAGCGTCAGTGTGGTGCTGAAGTCCTGTCAAGATTCACCTCTGGGTCAGTGAGTCACGATGCGTCTGCCGGCCCGAGGTCTCACCTCGGGCCTGGGGTCAGCAGCCTGCGAGGCCCGGGGTTGGGCTGGAGGCAGGGCCCGCGACCCAGCGTCTGGGGAGCTCATCCTCCTTGTGTGAGCTCCTGGGCTCTCCAAGGCCCCTTCCCTGCTGGCATCTGGTGGCTGCTGGCTGCAGGAGGGAGGAGTAGTCTGACAAGGTGTGCCTGGAAAGCGGAACACGGCCTTCCCCTGGGCGGGGGCGGCACCTGCTCAGGTCTGAGCGAACGCCCGAGTGTGTGGGAACTGTGCACAGACAGGCAGGCGGGCCGGAGCTGCTCCATGCCGTCATCACCATCACTGACGGCACGTGGGAGGGGGTCCTGGCAGGTCCCAGTGGAGCTGACCACCCCTATCACCTGGTGGTGCGGAGCTCTCATACAGACACCCATAAAGCAGTGATTCTAATACAACCGTAAGTGTTGCCAAACAACAGACCCTTACTGCTTGGAGCAAGTTTCTGGGGAAAGTTTTGAAAAGAACCAAATGGCCTTAAAACGGAGACCAAGGGTCAGGTCCTGCCAAAGCACCCTGCTTCCCACGTGTGGCCCTGCTGGAGGGAGCCTCCCTCGGACTCCGCTGCACAGGGAAACCGGATGCAGGCTCACCTGGAAGAGCAGCCCAGGCAGCCGCGGACAGCCGTGACCAGGCCCAGCTGCTCAGACCCTCGGTCACGCATGGTTCTGGGTGTTTCTGGGTGAGAGGAGCCTCTGAGTCAGTGGGCAAAGGAACGTGGACACCTCCACAGTGTGGGTGGCCTCGTTCGCCAGTCGAGTGCCTGAGTGCATCGGAAGAAAGGCCAGTGCCGAGGAGTGAGGCTTCCTGCCTGCTTCAGGCCGGGACGTGGGCATCGTCTCTGGATTGGATCAGCACCGTCAGCGCTCTGCACCTTGCTGACTGCGGAGCTCGTCAGCCTCCGTATACCCCGAGCAGATTCCTTACAATAATCTCTCTCCACACACAGAGCCAGGGTCACCTAAGGATGGGGACACAGTCTAGAAATAGGTCTGGTGTGGACACACTAGAGTGCACACACAGGGCTGGTGGGGGGCCGGTCCACGGGTGCAGTGCAGAGCCAACGCGAGTGCACAAGCCGCTGCCCGCCAGCCATGGCACTGAGTCGCAGTGGCCTTCTTCAGTAGGAGCCACTCCAAACAGTGACACCCAGTGCAGCCAAGGAAGACCACAGTCCGTGCCACCAGCACATCCCCGTGCGGCCGTGAGTTGCACACGGTACCACCATGGTTTGGCCAATGTCTGCCAGGCACCAGGTGACAGGCTTTCCAGCTGCATTGTGACCTACGGGCCACCAAGGCATGTGCCTGTGGTCCCTCCTGGGCTGAGCTGTGGCTGTGGCCTGTGGCTGTGGCGTGTGGCTGTGCTTAGACACACAGCACATGTCACCTCTGTCCTTGGGGTTCTGTGCTGTGCCAGGCACCAGCCCTCAGTCCAGAGCTCTGGGCTTCTCCTGCCGTGCCCTGCTGGGCTCCGCTGTGACCTCTCCTGGCCACGGAGAGACTGGAGAGTAAGAGCCTGGGGTCCCTGGGGGCTGCAGAGGGTCAGGCAGGGCTCATGGCCTCGGGGAAGACAGCCAGCAAGTGAGTGCCCCCAGCCTGCTGAGCAGTGAGCCATGGGGGCGGAACGCAGCAGGAGACAGGCGGTGACTGTTACCCTGGGGATGACAGGAAGTGGGGCTTCTGTGCAGGGTCCAAGGGGGAGCTCCTGAGGAGGGGAGCAAGCCAGAGGGAGTAAGCACAAGCATTGGGGCCACCGTCCCCAAGGGCAGGGCTACGGCCACCCAGGGCTGCCTCAGGCAGGGTATGAGCAGCAGGAGGCCCTCCATGAGCTCAGATGCCCCCGGGGTCTGGTTGTCCACTCTCCCGCTGGGAGCCTCCTGTGGACCACCTCCCTGGACAGTGCTCCTGTGGGACTTGAGGCCTCTGGGGGAAACCCAGGACAGGGCACGGGAGCAGCGTGGCAGGTGTGTGTCACCTGGTGCCGGGGAGGCCGGGTGTGCGCAGGTGCCCAGCAGTTGCCACCTGTGTGTGCCTCTCCTGTGGCTGCCAGCCGCCCTCGCTGCCTGGCTCTGTGCCCCTGCCCCCCTGGCCTTTCCCAGAATCTGGGTGGGGCAGTGCCGTGTGGGGCAGGTGCCTCTGCGGGCGTGTGTGCTGGCTGCAGGGGCCTGGCTTGCTCACCTGGCACCCCCAGGTGCCTGGGCCCTCATCCCCCTGGTTCGGGTAGATCCCTCTTTCCAGGCTGGCCCGTGGCCCGCAGTGACTGAGGAGGAGAACTGACAGAACCAGAACCATGCTGGGGGCAGCCCGGCTACCCGGCAGGGTCCAGTGAGCCCGGCCTGCCCCACGGGCTCCACTGAGCACCTGTCGTCTCACCTCCTTGGTCCTCAGCAGGAGCCCTGGACCCCGCACCCCGAGGCCCTCTTGGGAGACCCACAAGACCCTCCCTTTCCCAGCCACATAACCGTGTGTCCCATGCTCTCCATGCCCCTCACTAGGACACCCACTGGCGAGGACGGGGTGCCCAGCAGATAAGACAAGCCCACGGCCGACAGGAAAGATCCCCAGGACACAGAACGAGGCCACTCTGCTCACTGAGCTGAATTTTGCCTAGGAAGAAGGGAGCACCGTCCAGGGCGGCTGCCCACGGGCAGGCTCAGCCGGGAGAGTGCACGACCAGACCCGGGGGGCATCTGAGCCCATCTAGCTGTCGTGAATCATCCATGTGAAGTCTATGGGCTCTGCTCCTGTTGTGTTTTAGTGAGTGGATAAATAACTTCCAAACATTGTGGGTTTAGCTTCCATCCCGAGAGTGGTAAATAGGGAGAGCTACCTCCCACGGAAGTGCTCTCTGGGGTCCTCAGTAACTTTTAGGAAGGTGAAGAGGTCTCCGGCTGGAATGTTGGAGAACAGTGCTAGGATCACGGCTCTGCACCTCGCCCAGAGAATGAATGCCTGTCTCAAGTGACCCGAGCTTCTCAGGTGACCGAGAGCGGCAAACACTGTGCCCTCTGTTCTCCAGGTGCTGCCTGAGCCTTTGCAAACATTGGCTCACTTGATCCTCCTCTGACACCCAAGGTCGCACGGTCTCCACCTCCTACGCATGAAGGACACAGAGGCTGGGACACGTGTCTGGGGTCTCACGGCCAGGAAGTACACAGGCTGCAGCCCGGGAGGCCTGGCCTCCTGTGCAGACCCCCACCCCTGGCCGCTCTGCTCACCAGCCCTGTCTCTCCACGGCTGTGTCCCACTGCAGTCCCTCCCTCTGACTGTGGTTTCAGGCTCAGGGTCCTGGCTCCCGTGTCTCAGTGACTGTGTGTGAGCATGTGTGAACGTGTGTGGGTGTGTGTGAGCGTGTGTGAGGCCTGCTCAGCTGCCGTCACAGAACACTGCACGAGGCCCAGGGTGTGCTCCAACCACAGAGCTCACCGCCGTGGGGGCTGGGGCCGGGGGTCAGGGGTCGGGGCTGGTTGCTTCTGGATTCTGTCTCCTCCCGAGTCCTCCTGAGGTCCCTGCACCCCACGGGTGTCTAGGTCCTGGTCTCTGCTCGCCACTCGGTTTGGGTGGAGCTCAGCCTGGGACCCCACTTCACCTCCTAAACACCCTGCCTCTGCAGGCAGCCCCATCCTGAGCTGCTGGAGCTATGGCTTCCACAGGGGGGTTGGGGGACACACAGGGGTTTGGGAACACACTTGGGCCTACCACAGGGGCCACGCTGGGTCTCACTGGCCGAGGGTGCCACTGGCTTTGTTGGGGGAGAGAGGACACGTTTCCTGATCTCCTTTCAGAGAGCCAGCTGGGCTCTGGGGGCTTCAAGGAAGGACGAGCCGCGGCGGGATGGCCGAGGTGGCCCCACCAGCCTCAGCTGCTCCCCTCTCAGGGAGGTCCCACGTGCCCCCCCCCGGGCTCATCGTGCCCTCAGGCGCCTGGCGATGTGGGCAGTGTCGTGTGCTCCCGGGGCAGCGGGAGGTGGAAGCCCACAGCACCTCTTGGCTTGCGTGAGATCTGCCTGGAGTCCTCACCCGCCGCTCCGTGGCCTGAGAGGCTGGGGGTGCTTCAGGGCAGCCACGGTGGGGCAGGCTGGCGGGGACCCCACCTCTGTGCCACGCCAGGGCCCCCTCTGCCCACGGGCAGTCGGCCTGCTCTTCATCACGCTCCAGTGGCTTCTGTCCACCTTTCTTCACAGGCTCAGAGCATGTCCCTGCAGACCTGACCCTGGTGGGCCCCCACCAGCTCTTCCCACCTGGGGGACCAGGCCAGGGACCTGAGACACACTTCTCCACAGGAGGCCTGGCCAGGCCCCCAGAGTGGATTTACAGAGCCCACAGGGGGCTCCGGGCTGCTCTGGGGACAGGACTGCAGATCCCTGAGTCCAGGCAACGGCCAGCCCCCAGCCTCCAGGAGCACGGTTCAGGAATCCCGCCTGGTCCTCGGGCCTCGGGCACACGGGCCCACCTGCTTCTGTTGTTAGGACTTCAGTTACCAACAAAAGGACTCTGCTAGTCAAAAACAGAACAAACAAACCAGAGAGCAACAGAAACCCAAGACAGGTCCCCCTCGGCGCTGTGACCTGGTCAGGCAGCTCCTCATCTGACCATGCTCCTCCCACTTCCTGCCCCCCCCCACGGTTCATCTTACACTTCCTGATGATAAGGGGGGCACCTCCCTCCCTTCCTGCCTGGACCTCCCCGTGGAGTGCCCCCTGCCTTGCTCCTCCTCCTGGCTCCCTCACACCCTCAGCCCTGCCCTGTCCCCCCAGGGTCTCTGCTGCTCCCAGAGCACACAGCAGATGTGTGTGCCCTGGTGATGAGGGAGCCCATTGTCTGGCCACCCAGAGGACATCGGGGCAGCCTCCATGTCAGGAACCAGTTTCTCCTGGGCTGTGGAGGAGTCCTGCCCTAGGCCACCACAGTGTCCCCTCCACCCTGTCTCTGGGCTCTGTCTAGCAGGCAGTGCTGGGCACACATGCAGGCAGAGGCAGGTGAACCTGGCCACTCTGGGCCTGAGGTGGCAATAGCCATGTGGGACAGCAAGTGCCCTGTCCTACTGGGCTTTGTCTACCTCTAGGACTACCTTCCAAGCTGAGGGAGGGCCCCTCCCTTGCTGGGAGTGGGGGCCGGCACCTGCTGTCCTCTGCCTCCTGGCCTCTGTAGATATGGCCAGTCTCCAGGGCCCCAGTCCCTGGGAGTGCCCGCCCTCGCCCGCCCGCCAGGCCGCAGGAGGGGCGCCCACTCCTGGCTGCCTGCCCGTGCTGTGCGCGTCTCCTCCTCTAGTTCCACACACTCCACAGCCGGCCCAGCGTGTCCTTTTGCCTGGCCCTGGCCACCTGCAGGAGGAGACTGCTGGCTGTGAGGGCCGGGACACTCAGGGCTGCTCTGAGTCTCTTGAACTGGGTCTTTCCGTGGTCACTGTCCCTTGCTCTTTTCTTCAGCCCTCCCCAAATGAGGCATCAGAACTTACCTCAAAGGCACCGGATATGAGGCCGAGAAGTTGTCACTCTGTTCAGAACCCCGGCTGGGCCAGGGGTTTCCCCTATGGGCGGAGCATGGTCACCCTCCCCTCCTTGGGCAGGTGGTCAGTACAGAAGGGCACCCAGCAGTGGACCTGTCTCTCCAGCAGCTCTCCCTCCTGGCTGCCCTGGTGGGCTGCACAGGCGGATGGTGGAGTGGAGGTCTGGCCCTCAGTCTCCCCTGCTCTCCTGAGGCCCTGCTCATGGGTACCTACGAATCCCTACGAGGACCCTCCCTACGGCCAATTTCATATCCAATGTGATTCCAAGAACAACAACAAAACGGGCTTCAGGTGAAGCTTAAGACACAAGATCAGGCGGGGTTTTAAGCTGGCTTCTATTTTTAAGGCACACAGCACGGGGTGGGGGCGCCATGACTGCCCACTGGCAGGGGGTTGGCACCAGGTGGCGGGAACCCCCAGGCAGTCATCCAGGAGTCACGGGCCTACAAAGAGTGTGTCTGCCAGAGCAGCCTGTGCCTGCGGAGGCTGAGGGCTCCGGACGACAGGGAAAGTGGGGGATGGCGCCCAGTGCATCCGGAGAACCCAGGGAAACCGGCACAGAGGAGACCGTCGCCCCAATGTGGGCCAGCCTCTGAGGGAGAGCCAGGGGCCAGGTCCAGCACGTGGCTCAGGTGTGGCGGCCTGGCAGCTGTGTCCCCAGCAGAGGGAGCAGGCCATCAGGTGAACAGCCGACCCTCCCCAACACACCTCACTCCCTCCTCTGAGGAGCTGAGGGGACAGAGTCCACCCTGACAGCACCGAGGCCCAGCTCTGACCCCAGACGGAGCGCCCTGGGCAGGGTGGCAGCTCTGCCCTCTTGCAGCCATGGTCACCCCAGGGTCACAGGTCAGAGTGGCAGGGATCTTACTGAAAAATGGTCCCCCATCCTTCCCCAGCCTCTCCCTGTGATGCACCCCCTAGGAACACCGAGAGGACCCCCGAATACAAGGCTGTGAGGACCAGGAGGAAGAGCCTCATCACACATGCGGGTGACCTGTGTCGCTTCCCGTCGGGGGACACTCTCTGCCAGGCTTCCTGCGGGGTCTGTTCACCCGAGGAGCAGGAATCCTTGTTCCTGAAGAAGCCATAATGCAGCCCAGGGTGCTGCTGGCCACAGGGAGTGCCCCGACCCTGACCCTCCACCAAGACGGCCCCACAATGAACTCTCTCTGCTCCTTGGTCCAGGCCAGGTGGGCACACTCCGTAGCCAAAGGCCTGAACTAGAGGGCAGAGCAGCTATGTCAAAGGAGGCCCGTGTTTCAGAGAGTGACCTGGCGTGACCCACTTCCTGTTACAGGATCCAGGAAAGCTTCTGCCTTTGGCTCCCAGTTGTGGTGCACTGCCAGGTCCCCTGGCTCCCTCCTGCTGTCCCTGGGCCTCACCCCCTTGGTCTTCAGGCTGGGCCCTGGGCTCCCAGGAGTGCCGCAGTCTGGCTGAGCACAATTCAGGAGCCACTTGTCAAAAGAAACTAACTTTATTTTTAGAACCACACACGCCAAACAAAACAGCTCCTCAGGAAAAACCCTCAGAGCCCAACTGCCACCACTGGCTTCCCACAAGCCTCTCACCCCAACACCAGCCTCTCCACCTCCCACAATCCTCCTGCTCTTGAGGCCGATTGGCTGGGTCATGTGGGCAGAGCCAAAAAAGTCCCCCAATGAGCAGCTCCGTGGTCTGAAAGGGCGGGGAAACAGCCCAATGAGCATCACCACAGAGGAGCCAATCAGTTAGCAGCTAGAAGTTTGCTGGGGCTGCTGTGAGCCAATCATCAGCCAGCAACTGGAAGTTTGCTGGCAGCTGGAAGTTTGCTGGCAACTGGAAGTTTGCTGGGCCCCTTGGGCTGTGGCTCTCAACACTGGAGCACCCTCTCCCTGTGTCCTGGCCCTGGGACTCGTCCAGCACCACTTCACCCTCAGCCCCTCCGGCACCTGGATTAACGCCCCGTGGGGCCACCTCCTGGCACCCACTTCACTGCCCTCTGCGGTGATCTCAGAGCAGGGGGGAGTCATGATGTGGGAGCCCTGGGTGACCTGAGCTCCTGTGGCACCTGCTGGGGGAGAGGTGAGGGGGAGGGAGGTCACAGGCCCAGGAAAGGTGCCTAGCAGGAGGAAGGAAAGGCGGCCCGTCTGGGGAGCCAGAGGCCCAGTGCAGGTGCCCGTCCCGGTGTCCACAGGACCTGTCTCTCCTCTGCCCGGCTGGGCCATGCCAGTTGGTGCTGCAGAGCTGGAGCCTGGCCCCACTGGCCGTGTGCATGCGCCTCATTAGGAGAAGTGGCT